GCAGCGAGAACCAACATGCTGACGATTTGACGAACGAAGTGTTCACCAGCTTTTCTTCAGAGCACCGCATCGATCTTAGGTATGCTGATCTGCCACTTGCTCTCTTGCATCAGTTGTGGGAGACAAAGGAGAGTTTTGACGAGGCGCGAAGGGCTCAGGCCGCGCTTGCAGCAGATGCCTCGGGGCATCCTCTCAGGAAGCGGAAGGCGGAGAAGACACCTTGGTAGTGAATCCCCGTAGGGGAGAGGGGCAGGATGCATCAACATGCATCTGCCCTACCAAGGCATCCGCGAGACCACCAACCTTTGCGAATAAAAAGAGAGTTGTGCGAGTTCGCTGACGTTCGCTATGATTTGGAATGAAATTTATATATATATTTGGATTGCCTGATTTGGCATATCATTGATCCTTGAATTTCCGTCCACTCTTTGAGATTTTCAATACAACATCTTTTGAGACAGGAGGTAGCCTCCACCCACTAACCTAGACGCTATGCGAAGGACAGGCTAAACCGGGTTTCACCCTGTAGATCTGTCCGGAGCTAGCCGATGGGCGGGGGGGGGTGGGCGACGGCTCTGAAGGAGCAAGGTCCTCTAAGGATCCGTGAGCTGCGAAATAAAACCTTTGATTTCCCATTTTCATGATTTCTTGCATTGCTTGAATTTTGTTGGTCCAACCTTTGATTGATTTTAGATTTGGTTGATTGCGGATTATCATTCGGTCCGCCGCAGCCTCGAAGGGCTTAGGCCGAGGCTCTCGTGTAATTCTTTTGTACCCACCCAACCCACCCTGGATGTTCAGACATCCGAAGGACTTTCAGTCTTAGGTTACAGCTTGTTCCAAGCCGCGGGGGGGCAGGATGCATCAACATGCATCTGCCCTACCAAGGCATCCGCGAGACCACCAACCTTTGCGAATAAAAAGAGAGTTGTGCGAGTTCGCTGACGTTCGCTATGATTTGGAATGAAATTTATATATATATATATTTGGATTGCCTGATTTGACATATCATTGATCCTTGAATTTCCGTCCACTCTTTGAGATTTTCAATACAACATCTTTTGAGACAGGAGGTAGCCTCCACCCACTAACCTAGACGCTATGCGAAGGACAGACAAATTGAGGCACCGCAGATTTTCAAACTGCAAGAATTTTTCGACTGGATTTTTTTGTGCAATGAGAACCAAAAATGACATCATCCTTGTTGCTTGCACGTCTTGCGTTGAAACGAAAGTTGTTCAGCATGGTATTACGTGTGTTGGCATGTTGCAATTTGTTCAGCTGTTTTGGCTGAAGCTGGGGCAACGGCCTTGTCTCAACTTGCATTGCCTGTGACATCATCGGCATGTCGAACCACCTTGATGTGCGGGCAGGGGTCGTGGTCGCGAAAACTCATCCAAGCAGCAACATTACTTGTGTTGCTGTGTTGAACGAGGATATGTGTTTGGTGCGACCACTATCTCAGAGCCAGCTGTTTTGGGACAACAACGCAGTGACTCACCTCGACGTCGGATCGAACGTGCACTACCAACCCACAGGCCGAATCTTGTTTCCACTGCTTGGTTTTCCAGTTTCCCAATCTTGCAGCCAGTTCATGAGGTGCAAAACCCGGTACGCGACTTCCACACCTCAAGGAAGATATTTGTTGCTCTTCTTTGGTACCAGGCTCGTCTGGGAGTTTTTCTGCAGATGGAGACCTGCTTACCGTGCGGGTTGCATTGAATCTGCTGCATGTTGGAATTGGCAGGGTTTTGGTTACTGGGGAGGTGTTGTATCGGCAGCCGACCCAACAAATCCGGAGCGTGGCCCTAGATCCGGAGCAATGTCACGCCAGGCACTGGCACCATGACGGCGGAAGAGCTTTTCAAGCTGACGGGCAGACTTGCGCAAAGCAGTCTGGACAATGTGTGGCCAAAGCATGCCCTTCGTCTCTGCTAGGGCGCCGTGCAAGGGAGCTGAACGTGGTGCAATAGGAGGTTGAGTCCTGTCATTCTCGCTGATCTCCGAGGTGTGGTCATCATCGTCACGTCGACATCTGAAATCTGACGTGGACGTGCCTTCTTTCGTTATCGTCAGAGGGTGTTCAGCTTAGAATCCGAGTTTTTGCATCAGGATGGTAGCGTGCTCATACATTCGCAGTTCTGGAAAGTCAAGGAGCATCATTACAATGGGACCGACGAAGCGATGCCTGGCAGAAGGCAGCGAACATGTGCTTCTCAGCCTGCAGTATGGCGTTTCAGCATTGGAGCAACCTGACCATTGCAGATCACCGTTTCACCGTCAGGATGCCACTCAGCAGCAACATGGTCGAGAAAGCAAACTGAGGTCTTTGGAGGCTACCCTGGCAGTTGGTGGATCGGAACTTGTGCACGGCATCCCGGTCACTTGCCAGCAGGGATGGAAGTCCCGCAGCGAGGGTCTTTCGGGTGGTGCGACCCTCCATCTTCCTTGTCGGCTTGCTGTGTGCTGAGAAAGTGGCTCTCTGGAGGTCACATCTGCTGCTCTTCGGCAGTTGAACCCGGAAGAAGTGACGAATAAATGCGGCATCTCGTCTCACACATCACTCGGTCTTCGTTGACACGTCAGCACAGTTTTCCGGGGTGAGGACCGCCAGTTGAGGTGCATAGTTTCGTGGATCAGGTAGCGAGCTGAACTGGTCGTCGAGAGCACTGCAGCAAGACACTGCGAGCTCTCAGGTCTGTTAATTCTGGGAGTTGCACGGCCGAAGGACTTCCACAGAGCTGTGAGGCTTGGTGTAGCATGTCGATGTTTTTACGGCCGGGAGGATTGTCCTGCTTCTATTCTAAAGCTATATCGTTGATATGCTGGAAACAGTGCGGCATTCTCGCCAATGTGTCCGATAATTGATGGTCAGAACTGTCATCTTGTTTTTCGGTGGAGTTCGCCCCCTCTCCCTTCTGTCATGAATCAGAAACACAAGCAACGAGATTCGGCCTCTGGGTCTCTCGGTCTCTTCCTGTGTCCGGGCGTTGTCCGAAGCCGTCGATCCCCCAGATGCGCCGGTGCAGGTCTGATGACGAGAAGTGTGCCGTCCTTCTCATTGGGTGGCTTCCACAGCCACAGATCGCCAAAATGTGGTGCTTGCCACATCCGCTTCTAAACAGCTTCTGGGCGGCATCTGGACGACAAGTCTCGGCCTGCTAGGGTCCACCAAGTCCCGAAGCATGCAAACAGCAGAAGGCATTTTCCTGCTGAGCGGCCGTGATTCCGGATTCGCAGCAGTTGACTTGAAGACGAAGTTCGATGAGGACCCCGCTGAGCTGATGTGTTTGTGCGTGCATGTGGCTGCATGTGTGCACAGTGTGACATCGAGCCTTGAAGTGGAGAGGCTCAGATTTGTTTATCGAGAACGTGTGCACCGCATCAGGTTTTCTCCACATTCCTGGATGCCCTTAAAGACGGTCGTGAGCACAAGCATTTGGGCTGGGAATCTACCGCGGAGGACGCGGAGGCGTGTGTCCGATTGCAAGAAACTGTATTTGTCTGCAGTCCATACACCTAGTGAACTAGTAGGGTGCGAGACCTTTAGTATAATGCTGTCATTTCGCCCTTGCTAGTCCGGGGCTTAAGTCCAAGGCAGCCAAGTCGCAGCACGGAATTTGTTTCTCTATCGTCCCTTTGTCCTTGTGCTTAGCTGTAGCAGGCACTGGAGTTGGCAAGCAGGATCTTCCAAGGCCAGGGCAGCTTTTCGGGAGCTTTGCCCTTGAGAGTTTTGCCCAACCCGACATTGGCTATCCGTGCTCGGCTGCTTGAAGGTAAGGAGAATCAAGTCCACGTTGACCGAGATGCCGACAGAGGATGCTTCCTGGTCTTCTCACCTGCTGGATCGAGTTATCCACCAGGGTATCGGACAGTGCTTCTTTGGCATTTGGAGTCTGCTCCTTTGGTGTGGCGAGACGAGACTTGTCCAGCCCTAGATATTTTCGTGCTAGACCCGCAACAAGCTTTCTCAGGTCTCGGTGGTGGAAGTGTCCCGTCATCGCTGTTGGGAGCGAGGCACTGGGGCGGAGTCCCTGCTCGCCTGCGCAACGCTTGATGAAAAGCATATCGGTTCACTCCTCAGCGATGTTGAGGATAGTATCACAGAGACTGCACAGCATCTCACGGGATGTGCTGCTGCAGGTGCAGTTCGTTCAGCGGGAAGTTCCTCTAGCAAGAAGACTGCGGAGCCATACTTGCAAGCGTTGAGCGAGATCGTTGACGTTGGTTCCCAGACATCAGCGAGGCATACGCTTGTTCAGACGCTGTGCTTGTCTTTGCCTTGTGTCAGCCTTGTGTTCAAGACAACTACCTAAAATCTGGAGTTTGCCGGAAAGGTCATCTGACAGTCAGCATGTGTGGACCATATAGTGCTCGTCGTGCATCACGAACTGTTGTTGGAGCTGACTCATGCACCTTTGCAGGACTCCGCAGCTCCTTGCAGCAGCTTCACCTGTGGAGTGTGCTCAGTGGGGGGCCTTCCCAAGAATGTCGAAAGGCTCAGACCAGAACTGCACAGAGCGTTCTGCTGTCAACAGCGCTCCACGTCCTCTGGTGCAAACTTCTGCAGCCGGATCTCACGCGTGGACACGCTGCGAACACTGGTCGTGCCTGAAGGCCAAGGGCAACGCATCATCGAGAAAGCTAGATTCACACTTGGACTTGACAGTGTCCATTCTTTCGGGGCCAATCAGCATTGCTAAATGGCAGGTGCAGTTCATGTTGCATGTGCATTTCGGATGAGAGATAGAAAACTGCAGTCTTGTCTATGCAAGGCCGTTCTGCACCACCTCTTCGTCCATTTCAGCTCACATGGTGACCCTCGCTTCCTCTACAAGCGCGTGATGGCAGTCTTTGCTGTACATCTCGTGGAACAGCAAGTCAACCTGCTGTCGCCTGAAACCGCCTCACCGGAACGGTTGCGTGCTGCCATGGAGATGCTAAAGAAGGCGGCAGGTAAGGTGGGGAAGCTCTACAGGGAGAACTCGGACTTACCTGACATGCTGAGCCCGCTGCAGTCCTTGCGTGGTGCCTTGGACTGTCTTCTGCGCGTTCGTGGGGAGCAGAAGGCGTCTCAGTGCAGATTGGACGTGACGTCCTTCGCTGCCGCCGACTTCTTTTACCCTTACCTCGACGAGGAGGAGCTGGAGTCTGAGAGCAGTGCAGGGCCCAACACAGCTTTGGCAAGAAAGCGAGCCGAGAAGAACTTGAAGGACGTTCTGACCCCGTCAGGAAACTTGGCGTCAAAACTCCTCCTTAGCTCTCTTTATGGTGCCTTGCTGTAAAGCTTTGAAGCTGCGACACCCAAGGTGGAATGTCTTTTGCTGAAGCTCTGGACTGGTTCCAGAAACATTCCGAGGTTGATGTGCTGCAGATGCAGGCCAGATCGCTGTGCAACATGCATGCTGACAAGATTACGCGCGCTTGGCTCGGCAGCTTTGTGGGCTGCAACATGACCAGGTGCACTTGGAAATGGTGGAGGCTATATTTTTTGACCATGCGCTGCGTTTGGAAGACGAATGGTCGGCAGATGACTTGCAGGGAATGGAAGGTTTCTTCGCTCCGATTGGTCATCATCGTGACGTTATTGCCCGCAATGCGTTTTTCTGCAGACACATGCCGTAACCAGCACCTGATCATCAGCAAAGGCTTGTTGGATGCATATCGCAGAGGCTGTGAGAAGCTGCGGGGTGCGGCTGCATGGAAGGTGGAGTCGAGAAGCCGTGAGGCAGCAGTCCGCTGTGGCAGTCACCAAGACAGCTAGGATCCGTTAGGAATCGCAGGGAGCAGTGGCAACAGAGTGGAAGACTGCCAGGTCATGGTCCATTGGATCGCATTCTGCCTGATTTGGCGGGCTACCAGCCTGCAGAGTTGGGAGCTGGCCTTTACTGCTATTTCTGCTGGTGCGGAAATGGTGTCCGTGCTGTTGGGTGATGTTGGCTTGGTGGAGTGGGTAGAGGGGGGGGTTCTGGGGTTGAGGGGCTGCGCCAGGCGTCGTAATTGTTTGTGCTTTCCCTGTTGCCACTTGTCCTTCCTTCTTCGTCATTGCTGTTGCTGTTGCTTTGGGTGTTGCCGCTGAGTCATTGAAGTTGTTGTGCTGCTGTTGCTTTGCTGCTTCTTTTACTTCTGCCGCGATTGTTGGGCGGAAGCTGTGTAGTTTGCACAGATTCTGCGAGGCTTCCGAGATTGCTCATCCGCTTGTGAGCGAGTACGGTGTGGGCCTGGACCCGCAAGACGTGAGATGGTTGCTGCTAAGAACGGGACGTGAGATAGAGGCTGTGTTGCTGGGCAGACGTTGAGCTTGCGCATCATTACACAAAACCTCTGTGAGCAGAATCGGCTTTGGCCATTATAGGTTCTTTTTGTCAGGCACTCAAGGCTGTCGACATCTTCCTCCGCCAGCGCCAGCAAAGCGACCGGAGTCTGTTCAACCTCTCCAGCCAGGCGATGGCTAAGACAGTAGTGAAAGCAGCAGCAACATTTATAGACCCGCTTTGCCGCATCCCGAGATCGCGACGATCCAGTTCGCTTCAAGCTTCAGTACTGCAGATGCCGAACATCAGCAGACTTACCGGGCTGAGCGCGAGGCCGAAGCAGCCCGCATCGACATGCATTGGCAACAGGTTCAGCGTCAGCAGGAAGAGGCTGCGTCTCTGAGGAGGGAAATTGCCGCTGTGGAGCCCGACTTGGAACATCACGAGCAGGAGCTGCAGGCGGTTCAGCAAGCAACTGAGCCCCTGGGATGTGAGTACATGAGACACATGTGCGGGCGGCTGATGTTTGTAACTTCCAAATTGCTTCCTGCTTGGTGTGATTAGCTGTCACCGAGATACTTTCTCGAGTGCATTTATTTGTAGAGGTTGCCTTGTTAGACTCGCCTGGACTGTGGTCTGCGGCACGTCCTCCTGAATCATGTAGCATAAACTGTGGCCTTATCGAATCCAAGGACTCTGAGGCAGTCGCAGCACAATTTACAAAGAGCTGAGCAGAGTCTGACGGATCTTGAACATAATATTGTTCAATTTCAAGATATTCCCAGACTTGTTCGTATTTACGAATCGGAAGCTCGTACTGCCGCCGCCAACGTCGCTCGATACAGGGAGGAGATTCACACGTGGGAGCAAGTCTTGCAGAATCACTTGCCCCTTGCGGAGTTGCAGTCCATAGTTCAAAGGCTGCAATCGAAGCTGAAGCAATTGCGGCAGTTTCTGAAGGAAGCGGAAACGCCGCCAGCAGCTGTGTTTCAGCCTCTACCAGAGCGGGAAGACATGGCCTTCGCAATATTGTTCTTCCTTTACATGCCCGAGTTGCTCCGTTCTCTGTCCCGCGCGACCATCCTGGCACGGCAGTTGCTGCTTCCCTGGCCGTGGTGTTGCCAGAACAGGCTGCGGGCAACAGAAAAAGTTTTAGAGAAAGCTCGTAAGGATTGTTTCGAAGTTCGATGAGTGACAGACCTTCATGTCAACAGGTGGGACGTCAGCGAGCACATACAGGTCAAGGATTTTAAGACATGCTGGGCCAAGTACTACAACGAGAAGCAGAGCTGTGTTTACCATACTCCTCCTGTGCTGCAGCATGGCGAGCATGGGCCGGTCAAGCTTTTGAGCTCGTTTCACGTGCCTGACGATCGGCAGATAAGTGGCACCCACATCGACAACATGACGTCTGCTCGACATGGGGCTTTGAACTCAGCCTCGAGCAGCGAGATGCTTTGCCAGTAGCGGTTTGCAGCATCGCTGGACTTGGTATGCATATATATATATACATCAACATACTTAGACATACTTATGACGATATAGTATGCATACCGGTATGTACATGTACATATACCTACATTCATTCATATATACATCTTCTTCCGGATGCAGCGAAGGAAGTCTGTCGCCTAGCTAGCAAGGCAGAGCAGCAGCTCCGGCGCCTCTGTGGGCGCGCACTTTGCGCCTCCCCCCCGCTGACTGATGTGCAGCTACGAGTAGCAGTACACAGAGTCTGTACAGTCATCATCTCACGATCAACAATCAGCCTCGGCAGAACAGAATTTTGACATATTCCGACTTGCTGAGCTGTACATCTGCATGTATGTATGTATGCATGCATGCATGCATGTATGTATGTATGTATGTATGTATGTATGTATGTATGTATGTGCGTATGCACGTATGTACTTCTGCACCTACGTGTATGTGTATGTGTCCGTATGTGCGTATGTGCGATACAAGGTCTGGTGGCCAGACAAACTGCTCCCCACGATGGCTTGGAAATCCGATGGGCTGGAAGTTGGTCGGGGTGGCTTCATCAATCCTTTTGCCCTCTTGGGCAGCCAGACGCTGGCCGATCATTGGACAGAGCGAATGCCAGCAGAGGCTCAGGATCTGCAGTGGACCATGTCACTCCCTGATGTTGACGACATAGCAAGGACGCGTGGCAACAAGGGGCTTGCCACTCAACACGCCATGCCAAAATGGATGAAGAAACATGAGTATCTTGCTTTCTGTTCTCTCCGGGCTTTTCCCTGTCAACAACTCCGAAAGTTGCTTGTTGCGCTGCAAGAGCAATCGCTGCCTTTTGCGCAGCCTGCGGTCCAACACATGGTCCGGCAATTGCTGCATCATGTTGGCCCGGTAGAGCAAGGCGAACTGTACTGGAAGACGGACGCCGGAGCTCTGCTTGGGGAATTCCAGGAAGCCCTCGAGTCCTTGGTAGACGAGTTCTGCGCGAAGCCCCGTGATCATCAAGCCTTGCCGGTCTTGGCCGATATCTTGAACTATTTCCTGCTGTGGCCGAAACCGCCTGGTCTCGATGTTTTCTGGGTGCAGGGATGTCGCCGGCTTTCTGAAGCAGCGATGCAGTGGGTCAAGGATGCACTGAATGGAATGCAGGGGCTCGACAGTGAGCATCAGGAGAAGCTTCGAGCCAAGGCACGGCACAGCATTTGCAGTTGCAGTGTTTCCACGCGTGTGTCCAAGCAGTAATCGAAGGTATAGCAACTGTCGTGCTGTGCAGGTCTGCATTTACGGGCTCTATGCAGTGTTATGCACACCATCTTCTCCCCTGACCTATGCAGATGCAGACAGGCTCTTGAAAGGGCTTGTCTACGCACAGAACAATGGCAGTCGTGCTCTCAACGGCCACGACTGCACCCATGTTCGCAAGATGGCCGATGGCCGTGCTGTCCAGCATCTGCATGAAGTCTTGCATTTTGCGGAGGCATCACCAACTTTGATCACAGCAGCAGTCGCTGCTGCCCTGGAGCATGTGCCGGAGTCATTGCAGTGGCGGCGCCTTCCGGGTTCTGCCTGTTTCCATGCACAGGATGCACAAGGCCACCTCTACAGTATCAACTTGTTGCGTGGGATTGTCTTGATGGATGGTTATAACCCACCGCGACAGCTTCCAGCCACCATCACTGGGCATCCGCTCTTCCAGCGCAGTTTCGGGCAGTCTGCCTTCGATGTCAGCATGGATGCAACTGGAAGATTCCACACCTCTCGACCTGTCGATGGATGCTTCTACCAGTTTCGGGAGCTGCCATCTGGCGGCATTCGTGTCACAGAGGTCCTCGAAGGCAGGCAGTGCCTATGTCGGTAAAATGCGGATCTTTCGTTTATGCGGCTTTATGCTGTGTTCGGTAGGGATACGTTGCATGTCTCAACAGAAGGCCGCTCCCTCCGACTGCTGGATCCCGCGTGCTTCCAGCATTTTCCAAAGCGCCTCCACGATTTGCACAGCCACTGGCAAGATGAACAATCCGGTGCCATCGTGTTTCGCCCTGTCCACTTTCGCTCCAAGCAGATCGATTTTCTTTATCCAGCGGAGGATGAGTGCTGCCCCGTTCCGGAGCATTTGAGCATGCGAAGTGTCGATGACTTGCTGGAGCATGAAGAGGTCAAGTACATGTTAGTCGCCTTGAAACAAGAAGGACTGGATCTACTTGGTAGGTTTGAGCATGCAGACTTCATACATGCTTATGCACGATGTGACAGTGATGACGACAGTGTGGTGAAAGTCGAGCTCCCGCGCATCAACATGGCTTTCGACGTCGAGGACGACATCTTAGTGTCCAGAGACTATCGTGGCTACCGGCTGGCTGATACTCAAAAGCTAGCTGACACGCTGGTTGACTTTGACTCGTACCTTGTGTTGCAGAGAATCGATCCGAACGACAACGGCTGAGTTGATCGGATGTTTGCACAGCTACGTAGTCGCTGTCATAGCGGCATTGTGTAGTATTCTGGGAGCCACTGAGGACACATCTCTGCCGTCCATCAAGATCATTGTGCAGAATGCTGAAGTGAAAGAAGGAGTCCCGCTGTCCCTCAACATTGACACTGACAGCAGCTCCATCAAGGAAGCCGTAGCTCGGCATGGACTATCACACTCTCCATACACGTCTCCCTCTCCCTCTCCCCCTCTGTTCTTTGCTTGATCTGAAATGCACAGTGGCCCTGTTGATTGCAGGTTTGCTTCGACGTGCATGAGCGCTTCAAGCACCTCCAAGCCGAAACTGTGCAGTCCAGACTTTTCCTGGCCAGTCTATATGCAGGGACGGACTGCGATGTGTCCGACCCGCGGCTTCAGGCACCTGGGCGGAATTGTTGGAGTATATATTTTTTCCTGGTGTGGTGTGTGTATGTATAAAAATAAGTCATAAACATAGAAAATAATGTAAGGTGACGGGAATGGAGGCGGCCTTGGATCTACTGCGGCAGTGTTGGATCAACCGACCTCTGACAAAGAAGGAGCGTTCGCGCTCCTTGCCCTGGGAACTTCATGGGACCTCTTTCTGTATCTTCTGCTTGCATTCAAGTCATGGGCCGACAGACCTCGAACCCCGAGGTGTCGAGGGATTGCTCAAGTTTTGCTCGCGACCGCCGTTTGCAGTCAAGGTGCTTTGCTAGAACCTCAGAACCGTGCCAGCGACGACAAATACATGTACTCACCATGTGCCGTTCTGCAGTTGCTGAGGCCATGAACTTCTACGATCGTCCAACCAGCTGGTAATTCTACATGGTGTTTCCAGCGACCAAGCTACCTTCCAGGATCCCGGGCGTGATGTGCACATGCTTCGGCTGAGTTGGGAGTCTTGCTTGCTTTGACTCTTGGCTGTCCCGTGAACAGGCATGGCCGAATCAAGACATTGTGACGGCGGGCTATGTACGGGAAGCGCGAATGCCTGGGTGGAGCTTCTTCGCGCTTGGTCTGGATGCTGATTGCTCCTTGGGCTTGCGGAAGGGTCGGAGCTGCTGAGGAGCCAAATTCGAGGAGACTGCTGACCTCGGAGGAGGAGCTGCGCTGCTTTGGAACCCGAGTGGGTAGCCGGCAGGCGCTCAGGCTAAAGCCGTTCTCGGCAAAGTTGGAGCGAGGTTCTGTGGTTAGACGGCTTCCCAAAATGCGCACACGTTCTTGTTTGCTGTCGACACACGACTCATAACTTGCAGACGAAGCAGTTGACGTCGGCCGACGCGCTTCTGTAGCGTGTGCTTCGAAGCGTTCACGTTTTGACGATTGTTCACTGTTTGTTCGCATAGTGTGCCTGATTCGTGTGTAAGAAGGCCAGGACGTCACTTTCAGCTGAATCTCATTATAGAGAGCTGAGCACTGCTGAACCAGGTGAAAAGGTCCAAGTTCACGGTGGAGCTCGGAGACGAGTCCTGCCCAGCCACATGGAAGCAGTGGTCAGCAGGAAGACTAGTTTTGCAGTGGCTCTGCCGTGCCCGAGGTGCCACAGTCTTACATCGAAGATTTTGAAGCTGAGCTGAAGAGCTTCGTCGAAGAGAAGCCCGACACTTGGAGAGGGTTCTGAGAGTGGACGTCTCTGTTTCAGTCTGATATCGATGCATGTGAGATGTAAGAAGCTGCTTTCGTTTATGTGCCGGAGCGGTTTGCAGGTCACAGTCGCGCGAGAGCCCACCATTTCCATTGACAGGCAGCTTGTCTAGATGCGAAGTATTGGACATCGCTTGAGGGTGATCCAGGGCTCAGCTGGCAAGAGTAGGTGGGACATGGGTTTAGCCTCGTGCTGTGTGCCTCTAGATGCTGGGAGTCGGCCCGGGGGCATTCATAGAGAGGTGTCAAGATCGCAAAGCTTGGCTGCTCCAGCTGGCATCCTGCACAGCCTCACTCTGATAGACAAAACCGGTGCCACACAGTGGTATCGGAGGGCTTCATGACGGTTGCCGGCTCTAAACTTTAATGAATAGTAGGCCTTGCGGCCTGGGGCCTATTGACAGTACCTCAAGCTATATTTCCTGCCATCATCCCTTTTGTGTTGCAAAAGGTGACAGTGCTTCTTCACCGATTGCGTTGGAGATGATGGAGGCTAGGGCACTGAATGTTGTGAGAGTCTGAGTGAACCGTGTTCGTTGCTGCGAGACCTGTTTGCCGAGGAGCTACGCCAGAGCTGGAACGTACATCATCAGGCAGTTGAGAAGGAAGTCAATCAACATGGACGCCAGGCCCGGTTTTCAGATATGGAGTTGGTGATAAGGGCGAGGCTCAAATGGTATAACGGCCTTCGGATGTTTGAATGTTTGCTATCTCTCTGAGTCTCTGTTTCTCTCTGTACCGCTCGCTCTCTCTCTCTCTCTCTCTCTCTCTGCTCTCGCTCTCTCAATCGGATATCAGGGGCTCTACAGAGTTTGTTCTCATCAATCTGAAAGTCATCGATCTCGAGCAGGCTGAGGTCTGGGAAGAGAAGCTGGAGACCGTAACATCACTCCGAGAGCAGATGAGCGATTTCATTGTGGGCACGCTGCAGAAGTTCCCCAGCGCTGGTGCAGGCTGTTCCTGCCGCGTGACAATGGCAAAGTCTCACCTGCTTTCCATGGACGAGTGCTGGCATGGCAGGAGCGGATGAAGCTGCGATTTTTCGCATTCGTCAGCTGTCTAATATGGCCCCGAAGGCCACCGATTTTTCAGAGTTCATGCTGGTGTTCAGTGACAGTGACGCCTTCGTTATCGATGTGACTCTCCAGCACAAGCATGAGCAACATGACCATCGTTCCCAACATCCCCACCATCATCATCACAAGGCTCATGTGTTCGTAACCGTCGTCGTCGTCCTCCTCCTCCTCCTCCTCGTCCTGCTCCTCCTCCTCCTGCTCCCACTCCTCCCTCTCATCATCGACAATGCCATCGTAATCGTCATCATCATCATCATCATCATCATCAACATCATGATCACCTTCATCTTCATCATCATCATCATCATCACCAACATCATGATCACCTTCTTCATCATCATCATCATCATCATCGTCATCATCATCATCCTCCTCCTCACTCTCATCCGCATCCTCATCGTCACCAACATCGTCATCACCATCATCCTCGTGCTCATCATCATCCTCATCATCATCTTATTCATCATCGTCATCATCATGATCATCAGCATCATCACAGCAACCATGAACAGTGATTTCATCATCTACTTTCTACTGCCTAATACTCAGTACTATCCACATACAGGGCAGTACTGCCCCTAGCGACGAACTACCTACATGCGACTAATTGCTAAGTACTAGCGAACTGTTACCAACTGCTGCCGACTCACCACCGACTTCTCACTTGACGCTGCTGTTACAACCATGGCTACGTTTACTTTTGCTACGACGACGACGACTACTACTACTACTACTACTACTACTATTACTACTACTACTACTACTACTACTATTACTACTACTATTACTACTACTAATACTACTACTATTACTACTACTATTACTACTACTACTACTACTACTACTACTACTACTACTACTACTACTAACTACTACTACTACGACGTCGACGACGACGACGACGACTACTACTACTACTACTACTACTACTGCTACACTACTACTACGACGAAGACGATGGAACGACGATGACGACGACGACGACTACGACAATCACTTCGACTTGGACGACGACGACGACGACGACGACGACTACTACTACTACTACTACTACTGCTAGCATTGCTACCACTATAGCTGTTACTCCGACAGTCAGTGGTGCTAATACGACAGAAGTTTTTGTACCTATGATGAACGGTATGACGGTCGTGACATACGTGAACAGGCAGCATGGACATCATCATGCCCCATCGCCTGCCCTAGGACTGCTAAAGAAGTACCGAAACTCATGCTCGCGACAGAGCGACTGACGACTACTGCTTCCTCGTGATGGCGACGACGGCGACTGCTGCTGCTGCTGCTGCTGCTGCTGCTGCTGCTGCTGCTGCTGCTGCTACCTTTCTTACACCTGCCTTTCCTCCCACGATCTCTTTAAATGGGCGACGCATTATCCCAAGGCTTAACAAGCAGGCTTGAAGCCTGTGATGGCAACCGTCCCATTACTTCGATTGCTAGAAGGAAAGGGGCAAGTCTGCCCAACTGCGATATCACCTATCACGAGGCGTGTGAGGGTTCTCGCCAGGTCATTTCCAGAGACTTTTTGCGGGCAGCATGGCAGCCAGCGGTTCTCAGAGACTTCAACCCCTTCTTGCTGCTTGATCTGACATGTCTTGCAGTGAGTGGAGAATACCAGAGCCTGTTTTTTCGACATCTGTGGTCTCTGGAAGATTTGCATGGTGATTGTGTGTCGGAAGTGAGTCGTCTTTCCAACAGACTTCGGTGCATGTTTCCTGTCCCTAGGTCGCAAGCATCCGAGAACAAGCTGCAAAAACATGTGCTACTGCTGCTTAAGCTGTACGTGCTGGAAGACAAGTTGAAGAGGCTTGCGGCACATGTGGCTTGGCTTGTCAGCCTTCAGATGGTGCAGACTGTTTCAGCTCTTCTGTCTGTGTGTGTGTTTGTTTGACATCGCCTGGTCTATGTTGATCTGAGGCCAAGGGCGAGGTTTACCCACTGATGCTGCAGGAGCTACTGGTGTCGCGCTGCTGGGATGTCCAAGAGCATCCGGAATGGCTGGTCTTTGAGGTCGAGGGGGGCCTGCAAATTCGTCCGGTCCAGTACCAGGTCGCTAAGAAGCTGATGGATGACCCTGGCTCCGTGGTTCAGCTGAACATGGGCGAAGGGAAGACTCGCGTGATCCTCCCTATGCTCATTTTACACTGGGCCGGACGAGACGGCGCGGGTGAGCCCAGATTGCTCCGAATTACCGCCTTGACATCATTACTGCATGAGCTGTACGATTTTATGCACAGGCACCTGTGTGCTTCAGTATTGCGGCGAAGAGTCTTGGTCATGCCCTTTCATCGCGATGTACAGCTGAGACCCGACGACATCAAGCAAATGATTTCCTGTCTCGACTTCTGCCGGCAGAGTGGTGGTGTTGTACTTGTTGCGCCCGAGCATCGCTTGTCGTTGCAACTCAAGTGGCACGAGCTACGCCTTGCAGGCGTGGAGATTGAATTCTGGTGTTTGTGAGACTGAAAATCTTATGTTGGCCTCTCTACGTAGCATTCAGTGTCGGATCCTCTGGGCTTTTCTTTGAACCCCTTGATGCACAAACGACCTCCCTGCTAGGCAAACATGAGATGTGTCAGCTTCTCGCGCGGCTTTCAAGCATTCCAGTTCGAGACTTGCTAGACGAGAGCGACGAGGTCTTGCGGCACAAGTACCAGCTTATCTATGCAGTGGGCAGCCCAATCCCATTGCCACAGGGGCCAGAGCGGTGGGAGACGGCAACCGCTTTGCTCAGAGTGCTGCAGCAGTCAGAGCGTGTAGCCCAGCTCTTGTCGGGGAAAGCCTTGCGAGAGCCTCGTGGAGATCAGGCCTTTGATCGCTTGCGATTCATTCCTGGTAGAGACCTTGACCGGGTGATGCCATCCATCCGGCTCGCCCTTCTTGAAGACCTGATGGAGTCTCCACCGTACGAGCTGGTATGGCTCGCAAACTACCGAGCACACAGCCCGGTGGTCCGGTTTCTGACCATGCCGGATGCGGATGCTTCTTGCCTGCCTTCCGGCTTGCCGGAGGACCGATTCCACACCATGCTGGCACTTCGAGGCTTTCTTGCGTGCGCGGTGCTGGAGCACTGCATGCAGAAGCGACACTCCGTGGAGTACGGCGTTGGGCAGAAGCACGCAAAGCGACTGGCCATACCTTACAAGGCTAGCAACACTCCGTCCGAAAGGAGCGAGTTCGGTCATCCAGACTGTGCCATCGTGCTGACACTCCTTTCCTACTTTTACAATGGCCTCAGTCGTGTGCAGCTGAAGCAAGCTTTCGAAGTCCTGCTGTCGTATGACGAGTCCGTGCAGAAGGGCCATTACGACACGTGGTTTTCACTGAGCCAACGCATGAGGCCAGTTGAAGAGACCGGGACTGTCCGTTTTGCCACAATGATCGACTTGTCCAGTGAGCCACAGCTTGACCTACTGTACGATCTCTTCCACCTGAACTTTGAGACCATTGCGTTCTGGGTATGCCAGTGTGTGTTTCCGAAAGAGACGTCGCAGTTTCCGAACAAGCTTGTTGCCAACGCTTGGAATTTGGCTGACAATCAGGATGGTCTTGTCAGCGGTTTTTCTGGGACAGATGACAACCACCGCGTCCTACCACTGCAGGTCACCCAGCAGAGCGGCCCTTAGAACTCCAGGTTTGTAGCGCGGGATTTCATCGTACCAGCTATTCCAGAAAGTTTCATTAGCAAAGTACAGTTGCGACTCAACCCAGGAACCTACCCCACCTGGCGGGCACCAACGGGAAGATGGTCAAGATGATCATGGACAACCCAGACTTCCTGAGCCTTCCTCCCGGGCAGGACCAGGAAGGCAACCCTTCGTGGCTGCGAGCGGCCCGCTTCGCTGTGGAACGAGGCACGGTGGAACAGTTAGTCAGCCGATAAGCTTCGCCGGACCAGAGCAATGCTATGCAATGCTCCTCTGCAACTCTAGCGTACTGTAGGTCATCTAGACAGACATGCATCGCACGTCGTCTTGATCGATACATCGCGCGTTGTACCCTAGAGGCGTGCACGCCCTCATTGACTGTGGTGCCCTCACAGCCGGTGCCCTCAATGCGGACATCGCAAGGGAGATCTTGCGCTTGCTGGCCGACAGAGGCGTTTTGAAGTCAAGAATCAGTAAAACGATTGACTGGACTTTGGTCTACGTGTAGTTGCATTGACGGACCTGTTCGTCGCAGGTAGCCCGTTCCAGGGGGTCGTGTACTTCGACGCATCAAAGAAAGCAGCCAAGCTGTCTTCAGGACATAGAAATATGTCATCATTTGGGATGTTGTCAACCAGTAAGGACTGGATCATTTCGGATCGTCACGGACGCTGCCTTCCAAAGAATCGATCTCCAGTCCGAGAGCACGACACCTGCTACAATTGGCACATAATTGTCCAAGGCTTTTCTGCGATTTCACTTCTATCCGGTTTCTCCGTCTTGATCCCTTCGCGGCTTGAGGAGTGTTTCGCTTTCTTTGATGAAGCGAGATCGCGGGGAGCAGATTTGAAGCTTGCGAAGAATGCCAGAGCCATGGTGGCCAGGCTCTGCTAAGCCTTACTGTAGATCCTCGTAGTAACGTTGCCACTTGGCATTGGGGGGTTTTGGGCCGTCCCACCTCTCTCTCTGAGGTCACGGTTGGGCTGAGGTGCGGCAAGGACAAGCTGATGCAAGCAATCGGGAGGATGCGAATGCTCGGCAAAGGCCAAACCCTGGAGTTCCTAGCTTCAGAAGAGGCGGCCTCCTGCACCGTCTGTTTGGTATTCTAGCTGCCAAACCCAGCAGGGGATGTGCAAAGCCCACGAAGGTGAACAAGAAAGTCCGCGAGATGGTCCAGCGCGACCAGACTGAAGGAAAAGGCCGCCAGAAGGGAAAAGGTCGCCTGAAGGCCTCGAAGGCCTGGTAGCCACAACGTCTTGCGACGCGTCGCTCGACTCGACGTCCTTGACGGCTGATCCTTCCATGTCAGGAGGCGCGGGTTCACTTGACCTCCCAGCATCTCTTGGAATGGGTGATGGCCAACACTGCTGCTGGGTTGCAAAGGTGAAGCATGGTTTGTTACTAGTATAAACGGAAGCTGACAAGTGGTGTGCTGGGGACTGGAGCAAGGAATATGATGATGGGGAAAAGGTAGGTTCTCGAACACACAGGTGCGTGCAAAAAAGCTGACCCAGCCGGCAGGTCGCCGCGGCGGAGGAAGCTCTCTCGGAGTGGGCACCTCGCCGGAAGTGCAGACGGGGCTTCTTGGGACTGGTGTCGCAACAGAGAGTTACTCCGGGATTGCGCAACAGGGTGAGAGGTGCATGCAGAACACCTTGTCCTTTCTACAGTCTTCTTATGCCCTTCCAGGCAAAACAGGGCTTGCTCTTCAGCTCCACACGAGCGGCACCAGAGCTGGCCGTGCTGGATGAGATCGTCGAGCTGAGCGCCTTCTACAAGGAGGCCTTGGCGCCGCCTCAGCAAGCAAGATTGGTTGTGGATAGCCCAGACTGCCCCGAGGGCCGGCAAGTTGCAACAGCCAAGGTGCCCAAGGAGGTTGCAGTGCTTGTGAGAGGCGAGGCTGAGCGGACCGAGCAGATGCTCAGCTGAACTTCGCTCGCCGCCTTCCAGAAAGGGGCCAGTGGAGCGTAGGTGGAACTAGACAGTCGCTTGCATGCTTGTGGTTGAGGAGAGCTGCTTCGAGCCTACGAGATTCAGACCGGGAGCTCATGCAGAAGATCCAGCATCGGGCGGACCAGTATGGCAACGGAGTTCAGGTGGCCGCCAGTGTGCTGGACGAGGAGCATCTCGGATCGGAAGGATGGCAGCGGAGCGTCTGATTCTGCTTGGCAGCTAAGGTACGAGAGAGAACTCGAGGTTGAAAAAGAAGTGGAAAAGGAAGTTCAGAGGCAGGTGCCAACAATGACACCCTATTAGGAGGAGGACTGGGATGTCTCCCGGGTGGTGCATGCCGAGAGCGTTGTCTCCCTCAAGATTGAGACCTTCAGCATCCCGGACGTTTTTGAGGTGACCCACAGCCTCAATCGATACAAGAGCACTTGGCCCAAGACCATCAAGGTGTACTGTACCAGAAACTTCCGTCGGGCCATCAACGAAGCAGCAGGCCTAGACGACTACTTGCGCCCTGTCGATGCTGTGGTGGCCTTCGAGTCAGGGGGGCTTCTCCTCTTGTCGGAGCGTGAGGGCGAGCAAGCGCTGGCAGCTTTTTGGAGGGCCCAAGCGGCCCAGGAAACCCGGCCGCGAGCCTTTTTCGTGAACATGCCGCTCTGGAAGAAAGGCTTCAGCTCGCAGCCCGCGGGTTTGCTGCCGAACGGTGCGGGTGTTCCCCGGGTGCTCTGCGACCCTCCTGCTCTGGTCAGTCTCCAGGTCTTCATGGGTGACACCAGCTTCAAAGATGTCGCGCAGCAGGAGAGCCTTCGGGCCGTAGCGAAATCGATGGGCCGGGATGCTGCTGGAGTCATGAAGCAGCTTGAGCCTCGTTTGCAGCGAGCAAGGTCGAAGAGTGCAAGAGCCGTTTGGGGTGATGCCGGAACCGCCAGAATCCAAGGTTCGCCTTCGTGGCATGTTGCACCGCTACGAGAGGAGTGACCTGGCCTGGATGCTGAATTCATTGTGATGCACGACACGAGCACGTGCCGCATCAAGACGTTGCTTGATGTGACGGAGACGCTTCAGCCGACTTCCAAAGCGGCTTTCCTCGAGCCTGCTTGCTACTGGTAAGGCACAAACTTAAACTGCCAGATCATTTCGTGCAAGCCAAGGGTGGTAGAGCTTGGATAGCGTTGGCTCGCAGTGGAGGTGGCCTACTTATACAGGGCTGTGACTTCTGAGTTTTCAAGACACCTCGGCTTGCGGGTTAAACGCGGTAGTCGCAGCTGCATGAACCACAGGCTGGCTCAAGGGATCCATGGGATTTCGTGTCATTCGTGTCTTCCGTGGATTTTGCTTCGAATTCGTATCGTATAGCTCTCTCGCTGGGACTTGGCAACGTCTCGGCGTCCAGGCGCAACGGATGTGTGGACTTCTACTTGTCCCACCTTGCCGTTACTATAAGCCGTAGGACCGTAGGAGCTTGAGTTGTAGAAGCCGGCTGTGCAATCAGACTCAGGCCCGGCGCGTGTCAAGTTTTGGGGATGGTGAGAAGACAGGAGTTAACAGATCTTGTGATGACGAATTTGCACCACATCGCGTACTTCTCTGACCTCAAGGAGTGATTGCACAATCGCCTCTTCGCGATGCACACTCAGCTCACCGATGATTGTGACAGCTTCTCTGATCAACTGCTGGATTGCTATCCAATCGCAACGATAAACCACGCAAAAGGGCCAGCGTAATGGGGACCTCCAGCAATCTCCAGCAAGCATGCTGTCATGCTGTCTGGCTTGCAGTGAACATGAGACGACAAGCACGCAGCCCTTGTTAAGTGTCGTGACTGTACCTCAATGAATAGCTTCTAATGAAAAGCTTTCTTTAGAATGCTTCTGTGGCATGTAAAGTGCCGTCGCATCACCGAATGCATGTTTCGCTGAACGTCAATGTGACGATGCGATGGTCGTCCCCGGGCTTCTGGAGACGATGTCTCCAAGAGGCGCAGTCTTGCCGCCGTCAGTGGGTCATCCGAACGGTTGGCACTGACCCGCAGAGCTGACGCTTGCCAGGAGACGTCCGCAAGGCGAAGAAGGACTGGGCCTCGCCTTTGGAGTACATCGTGGAGAAGATGGGCGCCGAGAACCTGAGGATGACGCAGGGTCGCTTGCTGGCAGCGCCTTGAACTTCAGAAGAATCTAGAGATGCATGGGACCACGGGCTTGACTGTGTAGCTGCCATGTGTTGCATTCTCGATTGTTCTGGGCTGGCGTATGCAGTCCGTCTAGAGACGCAGGGTGGTTTTAATTTTCAGAGACGCGACCGTAACACTCTAGACAACTCTCGGCTAAAGTTTTATTTCGCCACAGCTTCCGCCATTGCAGGTGACAGATAAGACCACGTAAGAATTGGCCATGGTGCCTGCATCTGGAAGGCTTCTACCCGGCCAAAGGAGAAACATCCATTGATGACATGCTAGACCAGCTAGCGCTGTAGCGGGAAGCTCTTGTGTCCACCGGGCCGTTGGAGCTAACTTTACCTCCTTTATTCATTTGCACTTGCCCTAAGCCCTAAACCCAAACCCCTAAATCCTTATATAACCTTTAAACCCTGAACCCTAAACCCTAAACGGCTCCTTAAGGCTCTGGTGTGGAGCTTCGTTCTGGGCTGCACCGTCTACCGCCGCTTCGACCTGGGCCGCCTGCGCTGGGCCACCTGGACGAAGAGCGGAGCTCTCTTTCCTTTGGTAATTGGGATGCTTGAGGGCATCGGCTCAGGCTTCAGGGTTCATTGATTGCTGCTAAGGATTTAGGGTTTAGGGTTTTAGGGGATTGAGGCTTGGGGGGTTTAGGGGGTTTAGGGGTTTAGGGGTTCATGGGTTTAGGGGTTAGGGTTCTCGTTTCTGTTGTTGTTGACGCTTAGCCTCGGAAGCGAGCCGCAGGTGTTGATGCTGCACCATCTGCTGGCGGCCCTTGGGTTAGACGAGGCGAGCGAGCTCTGCCTCGGGGGTTTGGGACAGTTAGAGTTTTTGGTTGCCGTCTTTGGTGCAGGGTCGCAGGCCATGTTCAGGCCATGTTCCAGTCACCTAATATCGTAGTTGAGTCAGTTGAGTTTAGATCTCAACTAATAAGGGTGAAGCAGCTTTCTACACGACTGCAATGTGAAGGCCATAAACGGTGTTGCGTCTGCGTCTCTGGATCATCGGGTGCTCGGATACCGTAACATTTGTGTTCGGGTGCACAGAGGACTTGACAGATTCTGTGTGCTGAAAGCGAACGGCACCCGGAGCATTGCTGCCGGCTAGAAAGCAGTTGTAGTAAGATTGCTCTTGGGATCCATCGGGCTGGAAATCTTGCAAGGCCCTGAGACAGACTTCAACCGAACTTATACGGTCTTCAAATGCACGCGTCTTGATCCCAAGCCCCTCGTGAATCTTCTGTTTTTTGGAGATGCGTTCCTAAAATACACCCGAAACCCTACTTCTTCGCCGAATGCCAGGCTCTGCTCATGTCCTTCTCCGCGCAGGAGCCCTTCGCCCTTCGACTCCTCCGCCCAGGCGCCCCCTTCACCGAAGCAGTCTCAGGGGTCCAGGGTTTGGGGAGGTCAGGGTTCAGGGCTTCGGGCTCCTCTTCAGCAAGGCTCAGGAAGAGCGTCATCCTGAGTGAGCCAGCGGTATGCCTCTGTGCACCTGGCGTCTGGCGAGGTGCCGTGGTGACTCCCTGGGCGCCTTCGTTCTTGCCAAAGCAGCAGAGCGCCCCTGGACGACCTTATTTTGTGTGCGACACAACGCAGGGTTGTGAAAGAATAGCAAGAGAGCATCTGCAGCACAGTACCCTGTCGGTCCGTTCCTGTTGCGACCAGTCTTCGTCTTCTTCCTGTTAACTCACTTCATGTGCAGCCTAGCAGATCAGGTTTTAGGAGCGACCGCCTATGCCTCCTTCGTGATCCTTGCCATCTACCAGCTGATCCTGTATCGCGTCAGCGACCAGGACTCAGGTGGCTTAGACATTTCACGTTTTCGGGAAGTTCCAGCATAGCTGAAGTGTAGGTTCGTATTCGTTGAAGTAATCCTCTTGTGTCGGTTCGCAATACACAGCTTTTCCATGGCTTTCTCCGCAGCTTGCTGGTCACGAACGAACCCACGAGCCCAGAGATTCATGCCAGGTGTCAAATTCGGTGGTGGAGGTTGTTTTGGCAAATCTTCGTTTATCGAACAAACGGGAGAACCAGGCCCTCGGCAATCTTGCCTCGCAGCCCCGCTCCTTAAACCATGCCCATTTCTTCTGGGGCTCTGTGCAAGACAGCTTTTTTCAGAAGACGGCCGCGCCGATGGAGGATGTTTCCGTCTTCCTGGCTCTCTTCCTGCTCGCCTGCATCTTTGACGCCCGGCTTATCTCCGCTCTTCTGCCAGTGCAAACTGGACTTGGGAATGCAAGCAGGTTCAGTGTTCCTGCTGAGTGCGACCTTGCCAGACCCTCCATCTTTATCCCTTGTTCGAAATCCCGCCCCAGACACTCATGCACTAGGATCGGGGCCTCTTCCACTCCACTCGACCCTCCGACATCCTCAAGTTCCTGGCCGCAACGCTGCTCCAGGAGAGGAGGGGTGCTGCGACGTTCTGCTGTGCTTTGAGAAGGCTTCGTTTGACAATCGACCCGTCTACAACCTGTAAACCTTGGGGTCCTAGCCATATCTTGTCCGACTCCTTGTTTCAAGCATCAATTTGCCGAAGGTGGGGTGCGGCCGGGTTGTTGGGTCTGCAAATTGTCCTGTCCACCAGCAGGTACTCCGTAGTTGCATCGGCGCTTTCTCTTGTTTCCCATTCGCTGCCCCAGGAGCCGGCATTGAATGTCTACACCCTGTTGGCTTGTCTGTGTCTCGAAAAGCATTCAGAGAGCCCTCAATATTCTGCAATTTCGAACTGCGCAGACCGTGTTGGAGTGTTGCGGAATATGTCGCAATCTGGTTTGTCAAGGTACTTCTGGTCCGGCCTGTACAAGCTCCGTGGTTTCTTCCATGGCTTCATGTTCCAGTACCAGTTCCTCAACTTCTCAGCCATCTCCTGGTATTTCCGCCACCTGTACCTCACAGAGGAGCCGCCGTTTTTCCCTTAAGAAAGCCTCCATAGCCGTAGGTTGTTAGTCGGCCCCATGACCCGGAAGCTGACGCAGGAGTATCTTCCACGCCCTGCAGTTTGTGCATTCGGGGCGGCTTGCCTGCATGCAATGCCTCACCTGATGAAGAGTGAAGTGATGACGAAGGCAAGAACAACAGAAAGATGTTGGCGATGACGATGTCGATGAGAAGAAGGTGCTGATGAGTATGACACC